CCACCACCACCACCACCAACAGCAGCAGCAGGAGCAGCAGCAGCAGCAGCAGCAGCAGCAGCAGGAGAAACCGCAGCAGCAGCAGCAGCAGGAGCAGGAGCAGCAGGGGGAGAGTGTATGTGTATCTGATGCTGGTTGTTGCATGGGTATAAATGAATATATAAATAAAAAAAGAAAAAAAGAAAAAAAAACAGAAATATTAGCTCTGCTAGAAAGCCAAGAAAAACTTTTTTTTTCGATGCCGTGGATGACAGTAACAGGTTTTGCTTATTGCGAGAAACTAACATATAAAGAATTATGTATGGCCATCACTCAGAAACTTCTTAAACCTAAACATGAATACACAGATATAGCTGCTTGCTGCAGCCGAAACACTCATTCTGCTGCTGCTCCTGCTGCTCCTGCTGCTGCTGCTGATGGTGGTGGTGGTGGTGGTGGGGGTGGTGGGGGTTGTGCTGATGAAAACCTTATTGATATGCTGCCGCTTTCTGCGTTTATACACCCTAGATTGATGACGAAAGTAGAGAGAGTGATGGGGAGATATTGCTGGGTGAGGGAGCCTGGATTTCGGGTGTATAGGCAGGTGGTGCGGTGCACAAAGAAAGGAATACAGCTGCTGCAGCAGCAGAAACTCCGCGAAAAAAGCGAAAATATAAAAATAAATAATAATTTAAATATATATAGCAATTTAAATAATAATTTTATTCATGAAAACAACGAAGATCGGGGCAATTCAACTTCGACAAAAAACACCACCAATAACAACAACCCCACCACCTGCTGCTGTATAAATTCTGCTGCATGCAAATGTTTATTAAATGAAGAAGATGTTTTATTTTTAGTTAATGAAGCTTTATCTCAACCCTTGGATCCTAATAAACCTTTATGGCAGTTTCTGTATCTAGAGAATGTAATACTCCCTATAAATACACTCGAAAACAACAAAAATATAAATAATAATAATTTTAATTTAATTAAAACACAAAAATATAATTATAAAATAGGTAGTGCTGTTATATTTCGCATGCATCATGCTGTTGGTGATGGTATCTCTATCACACGCATGTTTCTGAAGGACTTTCTTTGTGCTGCACCAGCAGATCCAGGCTGCAGCATCAACGACAGGCCCCTCATCAGCTCTCCTTTATCCCTAGCCGCACCACCAGCAGCAGCAGCAGCAGCAGCAGCAGAAGCAGCAGCAGCAGCAGAAGCAGCAGCAGCAGAAGAGGAATTTGTATGCAAACGAGAAGAAACAGAAACAGCAGGGGAAATGGGGGCGGACTGCCACAGCAGCAGATCCATCAGCTGCAGTGTTGCTGCATGCACAATAGATCCTGCATGCGAAGACTCCAGCAGCAGCAGCAGCAACAGCAGCAGCAGCAGCAGCAGCAGCAGCCCTGTGAGTGCTGCTAGCACCAGCACCATGTGGACAGTTTCTGGGGGCTCATTAAAAGCTGCAGCAGATGGCGTTGATGCTGCTGACAGCTGCATGCGTCTATCAGCATCATCTGCTGCAGCAGCTGCTGCTGCTGCTGCTGCTTCTACTGCAGCATCAACAACTGCAACAGCAGCAACTGCAGCTACTCCTACCGCATCATCATCATCATCATCGTCATCAACAGCAGCAGGAGCAGCAGAAGCAGCAGCAGCAGCAGCAGGAACAGCAGCAGCAGCAGCAGCAGGAGCAGCAGGAGCAGCAGCAGCAGCAGTACCTGTATCTTTAGCAGCAACAGCTCATTCGGGTGTAGTCCAGAAGCCTCCCGCATCTTTATATTGTTCTCCAAATAAATTTTTATTTAATTTATATATAGCAGCAAGATTCGTGCTGCAGCTGCCTTTCTATGGGGCTGGTATGTCTCTCTTAGTAAGCTACGATGAGTTGCTGCTCTCCCCTAGAAGCGGCAATGCATGCAAAACAAAGATAGCTGCTCCTATTTGTTTATCTCTTGCTGCACTCAAAGATCTAAAAAATAAACTTACTTATACGCTACAGCAGCAGCAGCAGCAGCAGCAGCAGCAGCAGGAGGAGGAGGAGGTGCTGCTGCAGCAGCAGCAGCAGC